TAAAGACAGTGGATGTGGGTGGAGCTTGCCAGCATTAAGGTAGGTGGCCAATCAGGCTACAGGGGCTGCCACCCTTAGCCTTCCCAGTGAGCTTGCCGTCTCCCTGATTCTGGTGCGTGAGACTACACGGTACCTGTGTTATGTCTGCCTTATGGTGTATTCATCACGCCGTTCCCAATCTCACGTTATGTTCGTGTTATGTGTGGGTTTGTGTGTTACCTGATATGATTTGGCAGGTTACCTTTGGGTCTGAGAACAATGAAAAAGATTTTCCCGTATCAATGACGTATTCATGGTAATTGCTTCTTTGTTGCATGCCACTTTCGCTTAGGAAAGGCTTCCCAGAAATGATCTATTTTTGAATAACGGTGGATACCTGGATAGACAAAAAAAAAACAAAACAAAAAAATCCCTCAATGCTGGCAGGCAAGCCACCCAAAAAAGCAAAAGTCTGAGTCCAGAAATACCAGCAAACACAAAGGGCAGGCTGCAGAGCTGTATGTGTGCTCTTATTCAGTTTTTAAAATTACACGTACGTAATCACACACACACACACACACACACACACAAAAGGAACAGGGGGAAAAAGTCTTGCGAGGGTCACGAGCCCCCCGGTTTTGGTTTTACACAGTTTGCAGTGCGTGAGATCTCTGTGCCAGTAGCAAAACAGCGCACTAAAAATAAACATGAAAAGCGCCACCTGCGTGCGTCTACCGTCTTGCTTATTCCTGTCCTGTTGTCGAAGCTTTCTCCCCTCACGACTCCCAACCACAGGTCCTGCTCACCGCTCTGTGGTGGGGGCTCTTCTACCTGGGAGGAAGAAAAGATGCAAGGAGCCGACAACGGCAAGGTGGGTCTCTGCTCTTCAGGGCTTGACTGGAGCAGAGGAACCACCGTGAGGATGATGCTCAACTGGGTGCGTAGAGTCGCTAGGAACTGTGTGGAGGGCACCAACAGCAGCTTGTATCCTCATCAGTGAGTTCTTACTTAGGCTTAAAAAACGACAAGGTATTTAAGACACTCAGCAAAATCTACAGAGACTAAAATCACAGATGCCCGTCGATGGTCCTCAGCACTAGCCTGATGGGTCTGTTTGTATTTTAGGGAAATAAAGTCAGGCTGGAGCCCCTCCGTGACCCCAGCTGGGCCTCCCACCCGGTCCTCAGAGTCCCTCCTCTGGCTGATGATGTTTTCACGACATAAAATACAAGGCTGCGGATGAAGCAGCTGCAAAGGGGTTAGGAAGGTGGTCTTCTCAGCTCAAGTCAGGGCCAGGCAGGTGGAGAAGGCAGGCTGACCCACAGCCTGCAAAGAAACACCGCTTTACATGGTGGTATTTTCTAGAGGACCCAAGTCCTGGATGTACGTTTTATAAAACACTTAACTCGTAAGTTGTACACCAGCTCAAGTGAAACAGCTGCCAAGGTAACCTTGATAAAAATTTCGATAAACTGGGACTTGTTCGCCATGTCCCAGGTGCTATCAGCCAGCCAGTGCCGGGCGGGGCAGGGTAGGGGGTGGGGGAAATACAACTGAAAGCCTGTTGTTCCCCTCTTAAAACACCAGCTCTCCTTGTATCCGCTGTCTACACACCTGACAACATGCAGCACAAATGAGTAGGTTTCTATTTGCATTAATTTTAAGTAAAACATAGCCTAAAAATAGTTATTTAGCAAGTGCTTCATAAAAAGGGTACACTCATTTCCCCTGAAAAACAGGTACCAGAGAGACAGGAAAGCCAGCTGCCATGGAGTAGATTCAGCCTGGTGGGGGCCCATGGGTGTCAGAGCAGAACTGTGCCCCACCAGGGTTTCAGGGGCTGGGTTTTGGAAGCAGGCTGCCATACTTTCCTCCTGTGGTGCCTCAGAGGGGACTCCGCTAGTCAAGCTACCTTTCAGTTAGCAGCTGAGTGAGTCCTATCAGTTGCCTCACCTGGGAGCTCCCACAGGAGAACGATGGAGCTTTCTTTTCCCGTAAAGAGTTACAGTCTTGGAAGCTTACCCTGTCCGATAAGGTGGCTATGAACTGGTACTGACTCAGTGGCAGTGCATTTGCTTGTTGAGTATTTTGTGGGTGTGTCTATATACGTATAGACACACATATGTGTACATATATATAGAGAAAGACAATAATTCATAAATTATCAAGGGTTCATGAGGGATAGAGAACAGGGAGGGATGTGGAAAAAAATGAGGAGCTGATACCAATGGCTCAAGTGGAAAGCAAATGTTTTGAGAATGATGATGGCAGTAAATGTACAAATGTGCTTGACACAATGGATGTATATATGGATTGTGATAGGAGTTGTATGAGTGCCCAATAAGATGATTTAAATTTTAAAAAAAGAGAGTGAGTGAGCTGTGTTGTCGTTGTGGAACTTGCAGCCCAGTGGAAAGATTCACATGAATCAGGAAATCCACCTGAGAGGTCACGTAGGGAGAGGATGCTGTGAGAGA